TGCGTGGCATACCATATTGGAGGCATTACTGACATTTGGGTTGAAGAGAAGGGGTCTGACTATTGGCTAGGTAGGCAGTTGACCCACTGCAATTACATGGAGTAGTGGTCGTCTTCGTCATCGACCTTTGCTGCACGTTGGACTCGGCGTATTGGTGACTTGAGGGATCTGACTGCGCTTACGCGGCAACCTTACTGAAGGTCATCTCATGAGTTAGCACCTCCCTTATACCTCGAGTGTCTAACAGTCTCTTCTGTTTTCTTACTCTCACATTATCTTGTTCAGCAAGGCTTCGGAGAGGAGGACAACTACCAGGATTCTATCCTGACTAGACGGTGTTGTGACCTTTTAACTTTCTTCGTGGGACCTCAGGAACCCACGCGATTGTAGGGACTTAGTTGGGACTTGAGAGGGGTCCTCAAGGTAGGGAACTTCGAGGTAGCCAGCGCGACTTCATTATAATTAACCCATACTAGTATTTGTACCATTTTTATTTCATTTGACTAGTTTGCCTATTATGTATATCCTTTTTATATTATTTCATGACTTGAACTGAATAAAGTTAACCTAATATGTTTGTATAATTTACTTGCTTGACGTGGAATTGATTTGATGTCCGCATGCCATAATCTGGTTTATGCGCTTGGACATGGTGTCGGGGCGACTCGTCCAGGTACCTTGTTCTCTTAGGTTTCAAATAGTTGGTTCGACTCCAGGGCGGACCACGAGCTAGGTAGCGATCCGTACGGGAATGCATACATGTACAACCGTACGAATCCGTACTCGTACGCTACTCGTACGGGAGAGGCCTCCTACGTTTTTTGTTTTTTTTTGTGTGTTGTTGGGGTGTTGGTTAGTATCCACGCACCCTATATACTTTAATTCAGTAGAGAAAACAAAGTTTCGAGGCTGATTTCATTTATACACAGTGTGTGGCCAACATTTTTTTAATGGCTATATCCACTGTATTTATCAATTGGATATAGCCCCTGGACAATTAAAAAAAAAAAAAAAAAAAGTGTGGGTGCCCATGTTTTTTTTAATGTCATTTTTGTTAGTGTGTGTGTGTTCCTTTAAATCACACACGCACACACACACACACACACACACACACACACACACACACACACACACACACACACACACACACACACACACACACACACACACACANCACACACACACACACACACACACACACACACACACACACACACACACACACACACACACACACACACACACACACACACACACACACACACGTTTTCATTGAAGCAAAAAAAAATCGTTTTTTAATTACCCGTTGTATGTTTATATTTTTTTCTCGTATACTAATGAGAATTTGGGGTTGGTGCTTAGACAGATATTGCTTATATGCCTACGTTATGTAACATGTTTTTTTTTTTTTTTTTTTTTTTTCTCCCTGTATGTTTTACGTATAAGACATGTGTAGCCACGTACGGGGTAACGTATGTAAAATATGCATACATTGTGTACAAAAATGCCTCGTACACGTACGCGTGATAACCTAGACCGCGAGTTGTTTGCTTGCATTTGGTTTCTAAAAGGTTTGACAGCGTTCAGGGCGAACCACATGGTTGTATGTTTTAACTTCTTTTCTGAAAACCTAAGCAATGTGTCATTGCGATTGATTCAGATGAGTGTTTTTTTTGCTTTCCGAAGAGATCAACAATGTATGTTCCGGACCACCCAACTACATGCTTTACTTTATATTTTATGGAGACCTTAATATTATGTCACAGCGACTGTCTCGGGTGCGTATTTATTGACCAATTTTTGAAAGGCTAAACCTGTTTCTGGGGGAGAAATTATAGTTGCGTATTTCGATCAATCGTTTGTCCGTGTCAGAGTGAGAATAAGTTCAAAGTTAGAGCTTACTAATTTAAATGTATGACATCTTTTATGGAAAAATATTTTGCTCATATTAATGCAAAGATAATGAACCTTTGCTTTGTTTTGCTCGATTACTATGTAGCTTGCTTATGCATCTTGTTTTTGCTCATCTGCTTTGTCATCCTGCTTAGTAGGTTGGTCTGATAATTATCGTCTCATGCTTGAGCGATAGGCAGATATTGTTTGTTTCTTCCTTTGCATTTGTTTCTCGGTGCGTGCTTTGCTTTGATAAAATTCTGAGTAACTTATGAGGTAGTATAATTTATTATAGTTTTTTCCCTCTATGGAAGAGGTTGTCAAAATTCATACTAAACTACAAAGTTAGTTAAAATCTTTAGCGGCCTTAGTAAAAGTTCAGAAAGCCTTATTCGTTAAGGGAAGTACTACCGAAAAATCTACTGAAACCAAATAATAAGTTTATTTTTATATCATCTTTTAAGTTATAAGTTTTATCTTTTGATCCGGCTTAGTAAAAAATTTTGGAGCCCTTTACCCTAAAGGAGATAATGTTAATTTTTTTACTAAGACTAGGAAGTAATTGTTGGTGAAAATTTGAGTATAGGTTTTAGGTTTGGCTTTTTAGTAAAATTTTTGGGAGTAAACTTCTTTAGGGAAGATGTTGCCTGAATATTTGTTAATATGAGGTTGCTTTTAGCCCGATACCGTTTGAAATTCTGGGTGGTATACAAAGTTGATCTCCTAATTTCAAAAGGTAATGGTTAACGCAAGGTGCTTTCGATGCACGAATGTTATCGTACCACTCAAGGAAGGTCGATGAAACTTCTATTTTTCTATCAATTGATAGGAAGTTGGTTTGTGATTAAACCTTGACAGTCTTGGTACCCGCACGCAAATTTCTGAGTTCCTGTAATCGGATTATATTCCTTTAAAAATATTTTATTTTTTTAACTTTTCATCGAATTGCCATACAAAAGTTGTGTAAAATGGAGTGGAATGAGTACATCTTTGTCGAATGAAGGTTGAAAAAAAAAGTGTGAGATATAGTAGGGTGACAAAAGGGTTAATCACGTGAGTGCATTAACACGTGGCTTAGACTAAAATTATGCATGCAAACATGTATAGAAGCCAGGGTTTTACTTTTTGAATAAGATGAATGGATGGATGTTGGCTGTGGGTGGAAAGGTTCAACATTGACTGTAATAATAATTTTTCAAAATCTTCTTTACTATAATTCATCATTTTTTTTTTTCTTTTTTTTTTTCACTGTCCTTACGTCTAGTAGTCGTAGAGGGCCGGTTAAACGCAAAGCGTAGACCTGACTCTTTGTTCAAGTCATAACTCGACTCGAACAAGACAGATTATTTGTGCGCACATGCTTAACCCTATACTTCTAAGAAAATGGTAAGTGTGGATTTATTCAGAGGGATATAATACTTAATATGTAGTTAGTCGTTGAAGTCCACGATTGAAATTCGATGCTCTTGTCTAACCCGTGAGTTCACTCTCAGGGTCAGAACAACCCAGTCACTACCACTTGTCCCGGCTCACCCAGTGATGAAGCCGCTGAAGTTGTTGAACAACTTCTTCCTCGTGAATCACCCCTCATAACATCTCATATTCGATACCCATGTTTCGTGCACAACCTTAAAACTCATAAAAGGTCACACAATTATAGGACTGCATAAAGCACCACTGTGATAACTCATTATGTGTTTGCGTATGGTTAGACATTATGGTGTTGCCCAAACCTTATTATCACTTTTCATGAGGCTGCGTGGGTTGGAAAAACTAAAAAGGGATTAACACAATCTTAAGTTTTGAATCTTTATTTTATCTGTGTGCAAGTCGAGTGGTTAGACTTTATGTCATAGTCGGCTAGTGTAGGGTCGTGCTTGGGAGATCGACGACCTAAGTGTCAGTCCGCATGCAGGTTCAATTAAGGCTTTAGCCACTTGTAGCCCTTATGCTATAATGTACGAGAAACGCCCTCAACTGATCCAGCTCTACGATTGCATGCAAAAACTTTCACACGTGGGTCAGTAGCTCGATGAGGATACACCCACCTAAGGGATGGTGACAGTTCCCATGGGTGGAGGTAAGTTGTATCTTGCAGGACCCTATCTTGTCATAGGTACTTGAGGGAGGTATAGTTGGCGCACTCGATTGAAGCGGGATTGCTGTTTTTTCACTTTGTGTCCTACCTTATGCCAATCCTGCAGGGACGCGCCCAGGAAGGTCCCCTTTATAGGACCGATGCACTGGACAACGTGCACTGTTTGTTATGTCTTGACTACTTCCGTTGGGGTCGGTGTGTGGGCTATTGCTGTAATGCATGGACATATGCTTATAAGGGTGTTTGTTCCGACAACGCCTTTGCATAGCATGCTTCCTCAAACACTCTCCTAGCTAAGATCTAAAACCAACAGAACTACCCTATCACCCGGACGACAGGGGTCAAACCCCCCACAAAAACCGCCCCCCTCCTTGCGATTTAGGGTAGACTACACCACCAATCTGCAAATCGTTCCGATTTTTACGGATGTCAGGAAGGACGTCAATGCCGACATCAATGCCGACCTCTGCGCTCCCCCCTCTGAGCAGACACGTGGCACCCTATAGAACCGCGGATCGTCATCACTGTCTTTTTTTTTGGGGGGGGGAGACTTTTCCATTTCCAATTTTCCATGGTATTATCCAGGATTCGAACCCCTGTTTTATCTACTGACAGGTACATGTGTGTAGCATTCAGCCACATGGGCTGGGGATCCAGAGCCCTTTTTCTACTGGTGGCTGAATGGTGGACACTCGGGAATTCGACACAAATCACAGAGAGCAGGGGGAAGGAGGTGGCAATTCCGATCCGACTTACCAGGACGCCGCCCGATTACTGTCAACGGTCGGTGAGACAGAACACTCACAGTGACCGCGGGCGACCCTCACAGCTACCGAGAGCACCAAAAACTCTTTGGACTCCAGTTCCTTTCGCCCCGCGCTGGGGCCCCGACGACCACAACTCGGTAAACGACAAAAAAGCACTGCAGCGACATTTCAGCCTCAGGCTGCGCAGCGACGACGTGAGAGTCGTCGCCGCCGCCGTCTGTTTGCCAGATCGCGGGCTTATTTGGCGCCACAGCGCGGTGTGCTAGTTTCCTGACCAGCAAGTTTTCGTGTGGAGCGGGGAGGAGAGGGCGGGAGAAGAGGGAGAGAGGAGGCGGAAGGCGGGAAGGCGGCGGGAAGGCGGGAAGTCGCGAGGGAGAGAGTGACGAGGAGGCGGAGGCGGCGCGGGAAAGATGGCATTCGTTCTGAGGCTGGGCTCGCCCGTGGCGGCGGGCCATCTCCAGTTCTCATCGTCGCCTCTCATGCACGGAAACAGCAAGCGGGAAGTGGCAAACGCGCTGATCAGTGGCTTTCACGACGTGGAGCAGACACGTGGCACCGTATCGAACCGTGGATCGTCATCGCTGGATGTACATAATCATGGGTCGATAGCGTACGGCCAGTTGTCAGTGTCGCTGGAGGAAAGCGGGGTGCTGGGCGGCGGGGAAGGTTGTCGGCTTTGGGCGCCATCGGCGGCCGCGAGCGCGGGAAAGAGGGGGGGTGTGACTGCCGGGGCGGCGAAGGGAAGGAGTGTGGCGGG